AATCAGATCCATTTGTACAGACATGGAACTAAGACAATAGACCCAGATCCATCTGTACAGACATGGGACTAAGACAATAGACCCAGATCCATTTGTACAGACATGGAACTAAGACAATAGAACCAGATCCATTTTAAAGACATGGAACTAAGACAATAGACCCAGATCCATTTGTACAGACATGGAACTAAGACAATAGACCCAGATCCATTTGTACAGACATGGAACTAACACAATAGACCCAGATCCATTTGTACAGGCATGGAACTAAGACAATAGACCCAGATCCATTTGTACAGACATGGAACTAAGACAATACACCCAGATCCATTTGTACAGTCATGGGACTAAGACATTAGAACCAGATCCATCTGTACAGACATGGGACTAAGACAATAGACCCAGATCCATTTGTACAGACATAGAACTAAGACCATAGACCCAGATCCATTTGTACAGACATGGAACTAAGACCATAGACCCAGATCCATCTGTACAGACATGGAACTAAGACCATAGACCCAGATCCATTTGTACAGACATGGGACTAAGACCATAGACCCAGATCCATTTGTACAGACATGGGACTAAGACCATAGACCCAGATCCGTCTGTACAGACATGGGACTAAGACCATAGACCCAGATCCGTCTGTTCAGACATGGAACTAAGACAATAGACCCAGATCCATTTGTACAGACATGGAACTAAGACAATAGACCCAGATCCATTTGTACAGACATGGAACTAAGACAATAGACCCAGATCCATTTGTACAGACATGGAACTAAGACAATAGACCCAGATCCATCTGTACAGACATGGAACTAAGACCATAGACCCATATCCATTTGTACAGACATGGAACTAAGACAATAGACCCAGATCCATTTGTACAGACATGGAACTAAGACAATAGACCCAGATCCATCTGTACAGACATGGAACTAAGACCATAGACCCAGATCCATTTGTACAGACATGGAACTAAGACAATAGAACCAGATCCATCTGTACAGACATGGAACTAAGACCATAGACCCAGATTCATTTGTACAGACATGGAACTAAGACAATAGAACCAGATCCATTTGTACAGACATGGAACTAAGACAATAGACCCAGATCCATCTGTACAGACATGGGACTAAGACAATAGAACCAGATCCATCTGTACAGACATGGAACTAAGACAATAGAACCAGATCCATTTGTACAGACATGGAACTAAGACAATAGACCCAGATCCATTTGTACAGACATGGAACTAAGACAATAGACCCAGATCCATTTGTACAGACATGGAACTAAGACAATAGACCCAGATCCATCTGTACAGACATGGAACTAAGACAATAGAACCAGATCCATCTGTACAGACATGGAACTAAGACAATAGACCCAGATCCATCTGTACAGACATGGGACTAAGACAATAAACCCAGATCCATTTGTAAAGACATGGAACTAAGACAATACACCCAGATCCATCTGTACAGACATGGGACTAAGACAATAGACCCAGATCCATTTGTACAGAGATGGAACTAAGACAATACACCCAGATCCATCTGTACAGACATGGGACTAAGACAATAGACCCAGATCCATTTGTACAGACATGGGATGTAATTGACACCGAATTCATCCTCACTGAGCAGTTTTACATAGAAATGACATCCAATAAATGAATCCTATAGTAAACACCAAGATAAATGGGTCATGACCTGTCACCTCAGCCTGGGACTACAACACACTGAATGTACCATGATTTTTTATTTTTTCCAATAGGGAAATAAAGCAGGAGCTGAACAATGATATATTATCTAACATATAATACATGAACTTATAAAACTAAACAAAAGGTCAACTAAATATAGGGCAGTCACTTTAAAATAGCATCAGTCACACAATTCTACAGCGTTGTTGTCAGGCAGGGGACATTACCTACTGCAGATCATGAAAGAGCGAAAGAGGAGAGGGGGGGGTATTAAATCTAATACTGGAGTCAAACAACAGCTAACATATAAGTATTATTACCAAACAGAATGTACCCGGTAACATTACTTCGACATGTAACATCAGACAGGATAAGACAATTCTGTTTGAAGCAGGATAAGAACCTCTTTATTTAGTTTTAGCTTGATGATGTAACAAACAAGTCAATTGCGAAAAAAAATGTGGTAAGAATTTGTTTTTAAAAAGGTCAAAAGTTAAAAGTTGGTAATGTAAGTCATATAATGATGTTGGGTTTTTTTTTATAAATAATTTTGTATTTAAAACACCAGCCATTGTCTTTCATGTGCAAGAGACATAAGATAGCCTAGTTATAATACAAACAAATTACAATGAACTTTTAATAAATGATTTCAACAGTAATATACATCCATTTAGTCCAGTTTTAACAACACATTAAGAAAATATTGGGCAGCGTTCTAAGTTCTACTTGAGGCCAGAAATGAATCTTAACAATTTATAAGTTGACTAAATTGTTACCATGAGATTATAGCTTGTTACAGTGAATTAAGCCATGATTGAAAATAGCATGGGAATGTGGCTTATGACAATTTATCAGCCATAATTGCAAATAGCATGAGATTGTGGCTTATTAGTCGGCCGTCTTAGCTGTCATCAAAATCATTGCTCATGAATGCTATTGATACGCTTGGCGATACACCCCGGCTGATGTATTCACGCGAACGATTATTGTCAATTAATGTCAGACGCATACTCTTGTCTGCTAATTTGGTGTATTGACTGAAAGAGCTCTCCATTGTTCGAGGCCTGCCCCGTAAGAGTATCCATCATAGTGGTGGATGGAAAGTTGGCGCACGACGGAAGAAGAAGCGTCTTTATCGAGCAGGTCGTCGGAAACAGCGTCCACTGAAATGCCACCATGGCGACAGCCATGTCAACAATATTGCTTGTGGAGATCGTCACGTAAAGCCTTTAAACGAGGCTGTCAGTAACAACGGAAATCAGCCACGTACTGTGTCCTCCATCGCGACCATTCCCTACGTGTCAATCCTAAGAGCATGGCCGGTGGCTCATGATTTCACATCGCCTCGACGGGGCGTGACGAGATCAAATTTAATTGTTGTTGACTGCCAGCCTGCTGTGAAACCGCAATCGCGGCATTTCGGAGTGCTATATTTTAACTCCCAGTCCTGCAGGAATAAGACAGCCGATGTGTGTGATCTTGTCTTGGAGAGCAGGGCCGACCTTGTGTTCATTACCGAGACGTGGTTTAAACGTGTCGGAGATGAGGTGAAGCTTCAAGAAATTACACCTCCAGACTACGTCCTTCACTCTTGCCCACGCAGGCGTGCAATGGTGGGGGTATTGCCGTCCTTTACAGGAACTCCCTTAAAAACAGTGTGGCATTCTCAAAATCAGACGAGTTTGTTTCATTTGAAATGTGCAAAATGCAACTTAATTACGGTGAACAAGTGATGACTTTTCTGTGCATATACAGGGCACCTCCAAATAAGCAAAATAAGTTGAAGATCTGTCAGTTTACTGTGGAGTTTATACAACTCCTTGAAATGTATGCCACCAGCAACAACAATGTCATCATAATTGGCGACATAAACTGCAATTTCGACTCCACCACCGACAGCTACGTGAAGACCCTGAAATCAGCTCTCGACACACATGGAATGAGTGAGTGTCCCGACGCAGAAGCGAGGTCACATCCTAGAGTGGCTGGTTGTCAGAGAGGACCGGGCAGCTATGATCCAAAACCTCATTATTGAGGACAAACCTATTTCTGATCACTTCCCGGTCGCCTTCGACTTTGACTTGAGGAAGCCAGGACGCCTTCTGCGATCAGTAACATCACGTGACCTCCGACAGATAGATCTAGCGGCCTTTAGATGTGACGTCGCAGCCCTTGAGTGCGGTGGAGATGACCCTGCTACAGACTACAACAGTGGCCTCAGAGTCATTTTAGGCAAACACGCACCACTGTCCACACGGCGAGTTACGGACCACCCTTCCGCCCCATGGCTCACGCCCGAAATTAAGGACGCTAAGCAGAAGCAGCGACGTGTAGAACGCCAATGGCGGAAGTCGGGCTTGACTGTGCACCGACAAATCTTTGTTGACCACAGGGAACGAACCAAGAGGTTGGTCCTTGCAGCTAGGACTGAGTATGTTAGTCATCAGATTACAGGCAGTAGCTCAAGCAAGGACTTGGATTCCACCCAAAGAGATTGATAGACTGCAGAAAATTCTATGAAAGACTTTGAATAACACAATTTAGGAACTATTGGTGTGCATTATTTTAATGTAGAAAAAAAAACAAATGCAAATAGTTACCGTACAATATTTGTAAGTTTATTAAACAAAATTTTTCCATTTTTTACCATGAGGTTGAACAAGGAGAGAATTATTTTAAATGTGGATGAAAATGCCAAAAACTTATTGGAGTTAAAATAATTGTTAATAATAAATTAAATATTTTCCCATTCAGGTTAATAATAGTCAGCCCCACCTATGAACGATTTTTAATCAACAGCTTGGCATGTCTAAAACAAAATATATTTCAACAGCTTAGATTCATCATAAAATATGCACATAATTGAGGAGCAAATAATCAACATATTGTGGTTTTAATATTTCATATGTAGGTTGTTATTTTTAAATTCTATTCTTTCCCAAATGAAACAAAATATCATTTCCAGTACAAGTTTTATTGAATGCAAAAAGTTTTTAAAAAACTTTTTTTAAAGACTTTCTATCAAAGGAGAGTTTAAGCACACTAAAAATAATTTTAAATTAAATAATCAAAGAAAAGACTGTTTTGAGACAAGCGAGATCTGGAAGTATAATTATTTAATTTTTTTTACACCAATAAATGCTTACAAACAGGGTGAAAGCAATTTAACATTTACCCAGGCATAAAACTAAAAAGTAGATTTGAATGTTTTTTTCTGACCCTTCAAAACCACCCCTCCCCAACATCCTAAAACTCTCATCTGTGCTCCCCTTTACCCCCCCCCCCTCTTTCTTCCTGCATAATGTAGCAATCAAAACTGAGCAAAAGTGTAAACCTGCTTCTCTCAAACCAGCAAACCGGGGCCGCCACTCTGTGTCAACAACTCAGGTGACCTTTCAGGTCAACAGCAGACAGACAGTGAACCCAGCAAAAAAGATTTGCTGGGATTTGTGAGTAGAAAGAAAATTTTTAAAATTTCAAAAATATTCAAATCATTATGCAAATTCTTCCCACAACATAAATATGAAATACCACAAAGAATGTCAGGGAAATAAGTTTGTATAGGTATAAATATATGGAGTTTGTAAAGCAAGCAACCTACATTTATCTAAAATGTATTTATCCTTTCTGGCAACTGCTATTGTGAAGCGGTTTCCTTATCCAGGGTGAGATCTTGCCCAGCCACCGGACTGTGGCAAGAGATTTTTCAAATGACTTAACTGACATCTCACAATCTTTTAATTTGTAGTCAATGAGTGCACGGGGTTATCCAATTCAGAAATAGACACAAGTGAATTATCCCTTGGATTTAAGACTGTCACATTACTACCATTGGGTTCATCAGTACTGCAGGGATCAGATGTTAACTTTACCGGTAATGAAGTTGAACGAAATAGGGGTGGCGGCGGTGTTGTTGAGTTTGGGTGATTTGAAGAAGGATTTACATAGTTGCCATGTTTCACCCCCATATCAGTGTCAGATTGGTTTTGATGAACTGAGGTGGACCGCTCATGGTAACTTATGTCAGCACCATCCCCCCGGACCACATTGGATGAGCATGTGGAATCGTCAGACCCCGACTTTAGAACTGAATGCAGAGATGAGGATGACTGTTGAAGCAGTGAATCATCATCGGATGTGATCTCATTTTGTGCCAACTGATGGTTGTCATGCAGGAGCTGAAAATGACCTTCAGCAGAAACCAGAAGGTCCCCGTCAGCCAGAGCATCAGAGATCAGTGACGAGGTCATGTGCTCGTTGGGCTCACACATTGACATGAAGCCGGAGACATCTTGATACAATAACGGATCTGTATTCACCGCTACACTGGAGGCTACTGGTGTGGGACGTGTGGGGGTGCTGCTGTTAGGGACCAGCAGATCAGGATTGACGTCAGTCTTGGCTTTAGCTGACGAGGATTTCTCTTCCTTTTTGGGTATAACCTGTCGAAATAGAGATAGGTGTAGTCTGTACTCATAGAGATAGGTATAACCTGTAGACACAGAGGTAAGTGTAGAATCACAGTGATTTTAATGTGAACTCAATTAATCTAAGTTAAGAGGATTGACCAAGGTGACATCACTGTTAGGAATATGACAGGAAAAAATATTTATTTTGATTACCGGTGAGCTCATTTTTATTTAAGTGAATTAGTTGATGATTGGCCGATATATAACTGTGTGTATTAGTCGTCTGCAAACTTATCATCCAGGTGGCAGTGTAATACTTACCTGTGAGTTGACAACCGTGCCGGTAGACTGTGCACTTTTATCTCTCTCTGTGATAAGTCGCTGCGCCCAGCCTAAGAGTATTATACTATTCAAAACTTTAGTGGACATCAAACTGAAAAAAAAAAAATTTCTTTGTGTTGGCACAAATACAACTGAAATCTAGTCATTGAGTGATTCCCATTTTAATTATAATTTTTATTTCAAAAGTGTAGGTTTTTAACCAAAATTAACCTTACAAAAGAGTTCCAAATGAAAACAACCAAAATGACCAATTTCCAAATTAACTCCCTTCATGCTACACTAAAGTAGAGCCGTTCATTATGCAACGTAGATTTTGTTGACAACATTATGCCAGGTTCAAGCTTGCCATCTGTGAGCTTAGTGGGTTTGAGCTCGGCTCTATTAAAAACCTGCGGTGATTCACACAATTGCTTTAACTCTATAACGATATAATTTTGTGTGTGCTGATTTGAGATTAGGTAGAATCAGGGGAGAGAATAAGAAGACCATAAGCTATAACTGACCAGGTGAAGCAGCCATATTGGAATGATGGCCTTGTGCTTCTGTGCGATAATAAATTGTGTAATAATGTGAAGACAGTAAAGATAATGAATCAACAGCCATGTCTAAACATATCTAGATATCCTGTATTATAAATGAAGTTGTAATTGTGTATATTCAGTTTTATTGAAATAAAGTGCCAGTGATTATTTACATCAAGTGACTCTATAATTCATTTTAATTACATTTGATGTCTTGATGTGGCAGTGACAGTTATACATTTATCATAGACTTAGCTAACCATTATCACTGTATTACCAACAACAGGGTGGACGGTTACAAACTCTAATAAACATTTGGACATGAGCAGCTCTAGAATTGCTGGCATTTTGGTATTTACATGAAAAATGATTTGAAAGATGACCTACCAAAAATAGAAGAGGCCAACCAGCAGCCAAGGAAGTGGGCCATCAATATTGAAAGATTTTGTACACACCATGAACAAGAGGCAAATCAGTGGCATTGGAGTGAAGCCCATTCTCCTACAAACCTGGTCACTAAAGTTCGTGAATGCCTGGATAACAAGAACAAAGATGGCTACCCCAACAATTGAAGAATATTTTGAATATCGCTAAAATCATGTTGAAGACAATCATATGACAATCCTATTCTTTGAATATTGCTAAAAGAATTTTTAACACCAAGCTTTTCATAGTATATAAAAACAGTCAACTGAAACTGCACTTGAAATGCTAACAAAATAATGTGACAGGAAAATATATCTATCAACTTAAGACATAAAAAAATTCCCACTGATTTTTTTTAATAAAATGTATTTATCAAACAAATAATAATTATTTAAAAAGGATTTTAAATTAAAATTGAGTAAGTAAATGAATTGTTTCAAATAATCCTCTAAAGTACAGTCCCCTTGGTTTGAAAATAAATGACTTTGGTCAACTTGCAAGTGAAGTGGGCTTACTCACATGCTTCTTCTGGCTAGTGGCAATATCTTGAGCAAGACCCAGGGCAAAATCTGCATAAGACTGGACCAAAAAAAAATGGCTGAAATAACCCACTATTGCACATACATCTAAAAACATTTATAATTCTGCTGTAGAGTAACAATGAGTGGAAATATATAAAGGACAATTCATATTTTACAAACACTAAAATGTGCTTGTATATACACGAGAAACACTAAACATTTGCATGTACATACACTTGCAGACAATTCATTAAACTTGGTGATGAAGCCATGTTTTATCCAATCTACTACAACTTCTACCAGCATAACAATAGCAGCATCTTGGATGATTGGGAAAGCCATGTCTGTCAAAATTGGTGGAATAAGGAACATGTCAAAATTTCAAATTCATAGTGATACGTGAATTATATCACGATGAAAAATACATTAAATTCGTGTTAAAGGTCTACAAACCTAAAAAAGATATCCTGTAATGTTAACCATCCAGAGCAAGGACTGACTAACTTTATGTAATAACTAACTCAACTAAGATATGTAAGCTGTCCAGAGTTAGGACTGACTAACTTTATGTAATAACTAACTCAACTAAGATATGTAAGCCGTCCAGAGTTAGGACTGACTAACTAACACCGGCCAGCAAAGATATGTTATAATGGGAGCTAGGATTGATTAACTTTATGTCATAGTAAAAGAAATCCAAGAACTTAACATACCCCAGCTCCACTGAAGTTCCTTCATATTCCTGATGAACACAAATAGAAGCAGCACTAAATAGTGAAATCTTTCCTTGACATCGCCATAAGTTATTTGACACAAGTTATTCTTGTCCAGACGTTTAAACAAGTTGCCTTTAATCTCAACAAACTGTGGAATAGTATTCAAGTGTGTCAATCAGTAATATCCATCCCTGTGTCAATCAGTAATATCCATCCCTGTATCAATCAGTAACATCCATCCCTGTATCAATCAGTAACATCCATCCCTGTATCAATCAGTAACATCCATCCCTGTATCAATCAGTAACATCCATCCCTGTGTCAATCAGTAACATCCATCCCTGTATCAATCAGTAACATCCATCCCTGTATCAATCAGTAACATCCATCCCTGTATCAATCAGTAACATCCATCCCTGTATCAATCAGTAACATCCATCCCTGTGTCAATTAGTAACATCCATCCCTGTGTCAATCAGTAACATCCATCACTGTATCAATTAGTAACATTAATCCCTGTATCAATCAGTAACATCCATCCCTGTGTCAATCAGTAACATCCATCCCTGTGTCAATCAGTAACATCCATCCCTGTGTCAATCAGTAACATCCATCCCTGTATCAATTAGTAACATCCATCCCTGTATCAATCAGTAACATCCATCCCTGTATCAATCAGTAACATACATCCTTGTATCAATCAGTAACATCCATCGCTGTATCAATTAGTAACATCCATCCCTGTATCAATCAGTAACATCCATCCCTGTATCAATCAGTAACATCCATCCCTGTATCAATTAGTAACATCCATCCCTGTATCAATCAGTAACATCCATCCCTGTATCAATCAGTAACATCCATCCCTGTATCAATCAGTAACATCCATCCCTGTATCAATCAGTAACATCCATCCCTGTATCAATCAGTAACATCCATCCCTGTATCAATCAGTAACATCCATCCCCGTATCAATCAGTAACATCCATCCCTGTATCAATCAGTAACATCCATCCCTGTGTCAATCAGTAGCATCCATCCCTGTATCAATTAGTAACATCCATCCCTGTATCAATTAGTAACATCCATCCCTGTATCAATCAGTAACATCCATCCCTGTATCAATCAGTAACATCCATCACTGTATCAATTAGTAACATCCATCCATGTATCAATCAGTAACATCCATCCCTGTATCAATCAGTAACATCCATCCCTGTATCAATTAGTAACATCCATCCCTGTATCAATCAGTAACATCCATCCCTGTATCAATCAGTAACATCCATCCCTGTATCAATCAGTAACATCCATCCCTGTGTCAATCAGTAACATCCATCCCTGTGTCAATCAGTAACATCCATCCCTGTATCAATCAGTAACATCCATCCCTGTATCAATCAGTAACATCCATCCCTGTATCAATCAGTAACATCCATCCCTGTATCAATCAGTAACATCCATTCCTGTATCAATCAGTAACATCCATCCCTGTATCAATCAGTAACATCCATCCCTGTATCAATAAGTAACATCCATCCCTGTATCAATCAGTAACATCCATCCCTGTATCAATCAGTAACATCCATCCCTGTATCAATCAGTAACATCCATCCCTGTATCAATCAGTAACATCCATCCCTGTATCAATCAGTAACATCCATCCCTGTATCAATCAGTAACATCCATCCCTGTATCAATCAGTAACATCCATCCCTGTATCAATCAGTAACATCCATCCCTGTATCAATCAGTAACATCCATCCCTGTATCAATCAGTAACATCCATCCCTGTATCAATCAGTAACATCCATCCCTGTATCAATCAGTAACATCCATCCCTGTATCAATCAGTAACATCCATCCCTGTATCAATCAGTAACATCCATCCCTGTATCAATCAGTAACATCCATCCCTGTATCAATCAGTAACATCCATCCCTGTATCAATCAGTAACATCCATCCCTGTATCAATCAGTAACATCCATCCCTGTATCAATCAGTAACATCCATCCCTGTATCAATCAGTAACATCCATCCCTGTATCAATCAGTAACATCCATCCCTGTATCAATCAGTAACATCCATCCCTGTATCAATCAGTAACATCCATCCCTGTATCAATCAGTAACATCCATCCCTGTATCAATCAGTAACATCCATCCCTGTATCAATCAGTAACATCCATCCCTGTATCAATCAGTAACATCCATCCCTGTATCAATCAGTAACATCCATCCCTGTATCAATCAGTAACATCCATCCCTGTATCAATCAGTAACATCCATCCCTGTATCAATCAGTAACATCCATCCCTGTATCAATCAGTAACATCCATCCCTGTATCAATCAGTAACATCCATCCCTGTATCAATCAGTAACATCCATCCCTGTATCAATCAGTAACATCCATCCCTGTATCAATCAGTAACATCCATCCCTGTATCAATTAGTAACATCCATCCCTGTATCAATTAGTAACATCCATCCCTGTGTCAATCAGTAACATCCATCCCTGTATCAATCAGTAACATCCAACCCTGTATCAATCAGTAACATCCATCCCTGTGTCAATCAGTAACATCCATCCCTGTGTCAATCAGTAACATCCATCCCTGTGTCAATCAGTAACATCCATCCCTGTATCAATCAGTAAAATCCATCCCTGTGTCAATCAGTAACATCCATCCCTGTATCAATTAGTAACATCCATCCCTGTATCAATTAGTAACATCAATCCCTGTATCAATCAGTAACATCCATCCCTGTATCAATCAGTAACATCCATCCCTGTGTCAATCAGTAACATCCATCCCTGTATCAATTAGTAACATCCATCCCTGTATCAATCAGTAACATCCATCCCTGTATCAATCAGTAACATCCATCCCTGTATCAATCAGTAACATCCATCCCTGTATCAATCAGTAACATCCATCCCTGTATCAATCAGTAACATCCATCCCTGTGTCAATCAGTAACATCCATCCCTGTATCAATCAGTAACATCCATCCCTGTATCAATTAGTAATATCCATCCATCACTGTGTTAGACAGTAATATCCATCCTTGTATCAATCAGTAACATCCATCCCTGTATCAATCAGTAACATCCATCCCTGTGTCAATTAGTAATATCCATCCCTGTGTCAATTAGTAACATCCATCCCTGTATCAATCAGTAACATCCATCCCTGTATCAATCAGTAACATCCATCCCTGTATCAATCAGTAACATCCATCCCTGTATCAATCAGTAACATCCATCCCTGTGTCAATCAGTAACATCCATCCCTGTGTCAATCAGTAACATCCATCCCTGTATCAATCAGTAACATCCATCCCTGTGTCAATCAGTAACATCCATCCCTGTATCAATCAGTAACATCCATCCCTGTATAGATCAGTAACATCCATCCCTGTGTCAATCAGTAACATCCATCCCTGTGTCAATCAGTAACATCCATCCCTGTATCAATCAGTAACATCCATCCCTGTATAGATCAGTAACATCCATCCATGTGTCAATCAGTAACATCCATCCCTGTATCAATCAGTAACATCCATCCCTGTGTCAATTAGTAATATCCATCCCTGTGTCAATTAGTAACATCCATCCCTGTATCAATCAGTAACATCCATCCCTGTATCAATCAGTAACATCCATCCCTGTATCAATCAGTAACATCCATCCCTGTGTCAATCAGTAACATCCATCCCTGTATCAATCAGTAACATCCATCCCTGTGTCAATTAGTAATATCCATCCATCACTGTGTTAGACAGTAATATCCATCCTTGTATCAATCAGTAACATCCATCCCTGTATCAATCAGTAACATCCATCCCTGTGTCAATCAGTAACATCCATCCCTGTGTCAATTAGTAATATCCATCCATCACTGTGTTAGACAGTAATATCCATCCTTGTATCAATCAGTAACATCCATCCCTGTATCAATCAGTAACATCCAATGCTGTGTCAATCAGTAACCTCCATCCCAACTGGCCTTCAGACTGATTAGTCAAGAGCCAGAACAAAAATCATCTGTGTAAACGGCCAGTGATGTTTCAGTCATTAAAAATGGGTTGCCACAAGAATAAGAATCCAGTTGTTGTTCTCATTCATGTGACGAATGATAACCTCAGATAATGATGACATGAATTCCTTTACATTTGGAGTTTATTAGAACACAATATTATAAAAAAAATTTACGACTTATGAAGTTTTAAAATATACAGCTTTAGATATTGTCAAAAAGTATTTAAAAACTTACATTATTTGACATCATGATGGTCAGCAAATTTTTGTTGTGTGAATTGAATGCCACATTGAGGATAATTGCTTGAATAAGGATCATCACAGTATGAACGACTGGAGTGGTTAAAGATCTAAACTTTGCACAGACAAAAAAATAAATCAGTTCTGTTTTAAAAAATTAATGTAAAAGCTCACACTGAAGTGTTTGTTAGACAGAAGTGGTGTCACTTGGCTATTGCCTACAGAACCACAGTAATGAAGACTAAGAAGAAAAATAAATCAAAAGCAATAACATAATGAAAAGATAATACAGTCAAACCCACTTATCTCGACCTCGGTTAACTCGCCAACCCTTTTAAGCCGACGTTTTTGAAGTGGAACCGCCCAATTCTCTCTTTGTCTTAGCATTTTCTCATCAGTAATGTCGATTCTTTTATGAACCCAATATCTCAAGCACAAAAGGGGCAAAATTTGCCACTTAACGTCAGTTATCTCGATCCCCATAAACAATCGCCAGCTTTGAACTCCGCAAGAAGAAATAGCAAACAACAAATAAACAAATTTTGCATAATTAAAAACTCATAAAATTCATACACTGTAGAAATAATTTCTTGTGCAATGATAACATCACATATGCATATATTTATTGACAATATCGTTGTACACGCAAGTAAGTTGACACAGCAAGAAACGAGGTGCTTGCAAACAAAAGTAAGAGGTCACAGTACCCATACTATTTATAGCGAACCAGCATCTCGCTGAATAGACTTTCGTGCTTTCTTACACGTTTTTTGTTTTTTTTAAACCCAGATTCCGTAATTGAATAATCTGGAAAAGTGGCACCCCTGCATGTGCATGTACATTCTCATTTATTAACACACATTGTGTATATAAAGAAATTTCAAGCACATTAACATATTGCTACCATATTTGTTTTTGTTTATCTCGATCATCAGTTATCTTGATGCTTGTTGGCAAACCACGAGACCGGTGACATAGCCGGGTTCAACTGTAATAAGATTATTTTCAAGACAAAACCTTAGTAGACTGATAAAATAAAAAGCTAATTTAAGGATACCGACATAGGCAATGGCAAAGATGAGGTGGAATATTGTCCCAAAATGTTCTCTTCTGCGTCCTCGAGGCTCAACGGCTGTCCAGTATAAGCTGTCCAACACATCTTGACCAAAGCCAGAAACTAGTTTGTCCATTACCTAAATTAGTTAAAATGAAATTTGTAGTTTTGAAAAGCAAATGCTCTTCTATTGAACTTCTTTTAATTAATAAATCAAAACAGTTCAGTCTATATAGCATAGAAAATTTCAAAATAAATACAAGGCAGTTTTCCATTTTCAAATAAATTTAGTGTCATGTAAGAAAATAGCCTACTCTAGATTCACCAATCCATCTAGAGCAGGGTTCAACAAACCAGGTCAATTACCTAAAAAGGGGGTAAGGGAATTCAATAGACTTAAATAAAATTAAATTATTAGCATGTGCCTTGTTAAAAAAGATAGTCATGTCCAGGCAAAACTGAATTTGGTCAGCGTTAAGTGTAAGAGAGGAATGACCCTAATTCACAAATTTATTAATTTCAGCCTTTTTAACACATTTACTTTAAAACAATTGTCGTTTCCTAAACTTTTCGATGCAAACAGATTAAACAAACCATTTTAATTTTAAAATTTCCATAATTTTCTCCCTTCAAATACGCTCGAGAGTTGGTAAACAAATATATTTTGGGATAACAGCTAACAAAAGTTACCCTACCCCTGATCTGGAGCATGCCTGCACAATATAAGGCCCGGGGCCGCATGAGGCCTGCCAGCTCCCACTTTGCGGCCCACGAAATAAAGAAATACACTTTATTATTGTTATTTTCTTAATAGCTTTCCCCCTGTCCTATTTTCTTTCAACCTACAAAAGTTGTTCACAAAGTATTACGGCCCGCCTTACAATCCGAGTTGTCCAAGCCTGATCTAGAGTGAGGTTTTCTATCCTGGGGTAGCATTTCATAGGGTGAACAGGAATGTGATTATAGAGGAGCCATTGAATTATGAAATAATAAAATATTTATCCTTTTTTTGTTTTTACTTTTTCATTCAAGTTTTACTTTATGTCATAAGTCACAAGTTTGCTTTCCAAAGTCTAAAAGGCTATTTGTCATATTAAAAATTTGAAATCCTTTTTTTTTTTTTTTCCAATTTTAACCCACGAACTGTGGTCAGTCGAAAAAATCAGCCGACATTCTCGTTCTGTACGCAAAATTTTGCCAATAAAAAACACGGTCTGATAGCAACTTCCAATCAAATATTTAACCGGCATTATGGCCTCTTCCTTTTATTGATAATTAAATCAACTTCCGGGTCAAGCTGTTTCTTGATAACGTAAAAATACGTAAATTTTAATCGGAGTTTTATATCCCTGTTTTTTTAAAGCTAAATTGGTTGAAGCCATGGCTGGGGTCATTCAGTGCAAGAACTAATATAAATATTTTTGAAAGCTTTTTAGGAGAGGATTTAAGTGATACTGATGATGATTTTAACATTCCCCATGACGATATCAGTTGAGATTATTCTTTTCGTGAATCTTATACTTGTCTTAGTGATACTGAAGTAGGCCTACTGAGGCTAGTGTTAGACTTTGAGCCAGGCCCGGATGTTGGGCAAGGACTGACTGAAATTTAGTCACAGAAGCTACAGATTATAATTCAGAACTAATAAATTTTATAGTTAAACAACCCAAATCAGTTCCACAGTTCCTTTTTAAATGTTTACTAGTCACTAATAACTATTTTGCCTGAGATTTTGTATTTTGTACTTAGTTTTAGCAGTGGTCCCATTTTCTTATATAAAGGTCCTAATATTACTTTTCTTTTTTCTTGAGAACTCCAATGTCAAGGAGCAAAATTTTTTATGGGCTGGACAATATGGCCAACTTTATCCCCATCCATTTGCCTTTCTAAAAATATATACTACCTGGGGTCTTGTATCAATATTTCTATGTCATTTAATGCAATTTCAAATGGCACTCAAAAAGCTCTGAAAAGCTCCCACACCACAGAATGATGCATGCCACAGTTTGTGGGTTAAAATGAACTTTGACCTATGTAGGAGGTGTGAGACTAGGTCAAAAGAATTCATAGAAGGTGCAGAATATAGAAAATGGTGGGATATCCTGATCTAGAGATCCCAAACTTGAGGGCATAAGGTCTCAATAGTTAAAAAAAACATTTTAAAAAAGATTTAAAACTAACATATTTTTAGTCAAAAGACTTCTAACATAATTTATCTTTGTTCAAAATAATAATGAAATTTTAATAAATCACATATTTAAATGCTACAAAAGTACTTATGTTAGGTGTAGCTATAAAATGTCTAAGTAATTATAGGCAATACTCCTCATTAGATAAAATATAAGCAAAGCCTTAGGGTCTGTGGACCGGTCAATAGCCATGGCTAAAATGAAATTAACCAACTTACATCCAGCATATTATAGAAGACATAAAACTTGATGATAGACTGCCCTCTGACAATATGGTATATCATTGACATGTCCATGTAACTGGTGATGAAGCAACTAATGACCAGAATCAGACCCTTAAGCAAGTCACAGATTTGAGCTCCATCCAGCATGCGCCGCTCACTGACCAGACATCAAACAAACTCATTTATTGCAAAACCATGATAATTTCAAAAGAAATAATGGTAAATGGTGAAGTTGGTTTTAAAAGAAACTTTATGTTCAATAAAACATTTAAAATAGTGATGATGTTATTAAAAAAACTATATCATTACAATAAAGAGGTAAGATAGGTCTTAGCAGCTGTAATTATTGCCTTTAGAAAATATTGTTTACTACTATTTACGAATTCTTAAAAGAAGGTGGTAGAAATAATTTGTATGCTGCTTTTCTGAGCAGTTTGCCATAGCTTTTTTTTAAAGATTCCAGTACAGCTATAACATGAGCCATTTACAAAGGTGTCTCTGTTTCTAATCAAATCTAAAGAAAAGTAAAGATTTTTCTCCATTACTCAAAGACAAAATCAGACAATTTAGAAATTTTAGTTTTAAACCAGATTTCCAATGCAAGAATGTGATGTCTCTAAAAGCTATTTTGTCATAGTTCTGCATGGTATTTAATATTTTAGCTGTCAATGAGCGAATTTATTGGAGGATAAATTTAACTAAAAATTTGTCTTAGTTTTATTTTACTTAAATAAAAATGAAGTGCTCATCTTACCCTATGAATAAAACTGCAAATGGATAAGTAAGTACTCGTACGAGAGCAACGATGATGCGTAGGGGAAGGAAGGTAACCATATACAAAATGGAGTCTAGGCATTGTAAAAAACCAAATGCACAGAACTGAAATATATTTATAATATAATAAGAAAGTGAGAATGTAAAAAAACAAATATAAAATCTTATTAACCAAACACAACCTTAATTTGTATCCATTTTATAGACTCATAATGCTTTCATTAAATTATATGACAAGTTATTCATCTCTTGTAAGTGATAACCAATGGTCACTCTTGCAAGAAAGATGAAGAATTTAGATTTTCAAGAGATTGTAAGTGATAACCAATGGTCACTCTATGCAAGAAAGAAGAAGACTTGATATTTTCAAGAGACTGGCCATAAGCAGCTCATTGACACAATGACTGAGGATCATTTCATTATTAAACATTTTGAATAGCTATAAAAAAAAAAGTGAATAAATAATTTAATTTTAAAGTTTGTTTTAATGTAGTTCTAAATTTTGGTTATCAAAAGTAAAATATTATTCAAGATGGCATAAGCACAAATGTTCTGTTATTTAATCCCTGCCTGCAGCTTCTTAGCAGATATCATTTTATAAAATGGCTCTTCAAAAATAAAAGGTTGCAGTGCCAAAGAGATGGAACTGGTGGGAATTTGATCTGTATTCAAAACAGATCAACTAGCAAAGGCAGATTTCCCACATGATTAAATGGTGATGGCACATTATTGATCAAACAGTGGTAGCAGAAAAACATAAACTTTAAAGAAGCCATATCAAATATTTACATTTGCAATACTGACTTTAAATCAGTTTGCATACTCAGCACAGACCTAAAAGAATGTTTAATCTACAGTGAATAACTAAAGAAAATACCTTTTCCAAATTTTTGGGAGTATTTACTGATGTGTAGACTCTGTCTCTTCTTTCAACAAATTCTGAGGCATCTCCTTCTAGTTTGTAATCCCTCGTCAGCTCAGTCATGAAGTAGCCAAGCATGGATTTACCTATTTTAAAATACAACTTTTTACATTTGGCAATTGGTGGCTGTATGTTATTTTATTTTTTTGCCAGTGCTACCATTGTCTGGACATGATAAATGTTTTAAAAAATTATGTTAAAAATTTTCATAACAGGATATGTAACAACTGAACACAAAAAGTACAATATTGGTCCCTGGTTTTGACTTTTCTTTTGAGGAGAGGCTAAGATTGTAGAAATGCTGCCTTTCAATCAAGAACTGGAAGACCCCCCTCTAACCTATCTGAGACCCAACATGCTATATGCCTTCTCTCAAGCAGCAAACATCAGGTGATGACTCAATCCCGTCCAAAGTATACAAAGAAGGGGGGACAGCTCTGTCCAAAAGGCTTCACTAGCTGTTCATACTTATGTGGCAGCAAGAGATCATTCCACAGGACTTCAAAGATGCATCTATTGTTCACCCGTACAAGCCTAAAGGGAACCGTCAATCAGATGCGACAACCACCGTGGCATATCACTGCTCTCAATTGCAGGCAAGATATTAGCCAGAATCTTGCTAAATTGTCTTAACAGGCATCTTGAAAACGGTTTACTGCCAGAAAGTCAATGTGGCTTCCGGAAGGAAGGAGGAACCATCGATATGGTGTTTGCGGCCAGACAGCAACAGGAAAAGTGCAGGGAACAAAATGTTGACCTCTTCTCTACCTTTGTAGACCTGACCAAAGCTTTCGACACAGTCAGTAGAGAGGGCCTTTGGAAGATCATTGCCAAATATGGATGCCCCAGAAAGTTAATGTCAATGGTACGACTATTCCATGAAGGTATGCAGGCTAGACTTCGGGATAATGGAGAGACGTCAAAACTATTCCCTGTAACAAACGGCGTGAAACAAGGCTGTATACTTGCCCCAACACTTTTCAGTCTCATTTTTTCCGCAATGCTGACCCATGCATTCAGAGAGGGAGATGCTGGCATTGGCCTCAGATACCGAACTGACAGTAATCTATTCAACCCCAAGAGGCTACATGCCAAAACGAAGGTCCTGACAGACACCATCCTGTATGCAGACGATTGTGCCCTAAACGCTGTATCAGAAGTGAATATGCAACGCTGCGTCACAAGTTTTTCTAATGCCTGCACAAACTTCGGGCTCACCATTAACACACACAAAATTGAGGTCATAATTGAATCCCTTATGTTGAGCCCAAAATCCAAATTTATGGCGAAAGACTTAAGGTGGTGAAAAAAGCTTTTCCTATCTCGGCAGCACACTGTCCCAAAGTGCAACCATCGATGACGAGGTTAACCTCTGTATTGCGAGAGCCAGTGCAACCTATGGAAGATTGACTAAGAACGTATGGATCAGGAGAGGTCTCAACACTCAAACTAAACTGAAGGTATATCAGGCAGCTGTTCTCCCTACGCTTCTCTATGATTGTGAAGCGTGGACGGTCTACCAACGCCATGCAAGAATGCTGAACCCCTTTCATACAAGACTCAGAAAAATCCTCAACATTAAATGGCGGGACAGAGTCCCAGACACTGAGGTGCTAACACTGGCAAGTCTCCCCAGCATCTTCACAATCTTAATGAAGTCCCAGCTTCACTGGGCAGGACATGTTGTGAGAATGTCAGATGATCGTCTTCCCAAAAGAATTTTCTATGGTGAGCTTGAACAACGAAAACGGTCTGCTGGCGGACAGAAAAAACGTTTTAAAGACAACATAAAAGCCTCACTGAAAGCGTTCAACATAAACCCAGACACGTGGGAGGAACAAGCAAAGGATCGAGCTTCATGGCGTTCCACTTTGCACAGGAGCTCCATGCAACATGAAGTTGGCAGAACAGCGGCTGTAAAGCGCAAGAGACATGCAAGGAAGGCCCGGTCTGACTCTGTCCCTGGAGATGCGCCATCATTCCCCCTGCACCTACTGCACAAGAGAATTTTGTGCCAGAATCGGCCTCATTAGCCATCTGCGTACCCACAGACAGAACCAGCACAAACTATGAGGGTCATGGTCAACTCACGAACAACAGAAATGCTGCTTACATTTGCCTAAACCTGCCCCTTCCCTCCAGGAAAGGAAAGTGTTTCCCCAATTCTAAAGCTCCTTTGCCAATGTTTGATTCCATAATAAACAAGTCTTCTTTCATCAACTCAAGTAATAAAGCTCAACTTTAAAGCTTAATTTGTCTTTCACTCAGTGCAGGTGCTAGACATTTATAGGTTGGGTGAAAACAGGCAACTGTCGCCCTCTAGAAAATTATGGAAAGAGTTCAGAAATTTTTTATGTTTTTTTATTTTAACAAATTTTTATTTGGCGCCTGTGTGATGATCAAGCATTGTACGCGCCTTGAACTGGCCCTGCTTTCACTCTTTATATTTTATTTACTCTATGGTTATCAACAATCTTAATTATTTTTTCACATGTGAATTAAGTATTTGACCTACTTCGAACATTTCGTTTTTCAGAACAAGGTTGATCTGATTCAAATGAAGCAAAATTGGGTTTGCTTTCCCATTCTTTTTCAGGGGAAATTTGATCTTCCTCATAAGCAGCCCCTGCACTTGGGTTCTCAGGGGAAAAGCTATCTGACTCAGAGTGCCGAGATCTGTGCCTTAATTTCGTTGCCATTCCTGTTCTCATCGGTGAATGTCTGTCAATAAGAAATGAGGCCATCTTTGGTTTTCTTCACACTTGGAGTCTTGGAGTGTTATTATTGTTCTTGAAATTCTGGTTTCCAATTTTATAGGATAAAAAAGAAAATTATTATAACAGTTCATGAGGTAACAAATATATCTAAAAATCATGGGAAAATATCAATCTTGCTATACTGTATTATTCACTATAAGTGTAGCGGTCACAAAAAGAGAGATAACTAAACTAAAATTAATATTTGGGTGAATTTCAATAAGCTAATAGTATGATTAGAAAAAGTTATGTCAATTATAAACCTCAATAAACATATTAGTAGGATACATGCATAACTTATAAAAATAAGGCTCAATACTATGAATTATGACATGACAAATTTTACCATTTTGTCAGCTATTACAAGAATAAAATCAAGTTTAAGGGTTTAGGGCCCATAATTTAAAAAGTATTATATTTAAATTTGTCAGACTGCAAGTTTATTTGAGAAAACATAATAACATAAATTGAACATAGTAATTATTTAGAATTTATAAAACTGCCGGATAATATTATGACACTCTCAAAATTTAGATTCCTTATACTTAAACTTTTCAAAGTTTTTTTCTTAAAATTAAATCTAATACTTATAATCATTAGGGCAGCAAAGGCAATGTTACTAAATTATTTGAATCCAATCACTGCTTATAATCCATTTAAGTCTCCCAGCTGTGACAGACAGATTGAAACACTCCCCAAACCCCTTCTCCTTTTTTAAACTTTTTTTTGCACAAATATGTTTCTGGATGATTATGCTATCGCTAAGCCTAGATAGTTAAATTATTACAAGGAACAGGGCTGGTTAGTAAGTATAACTTATTATCAGTATAAGTATAAGTTAACTTACTAAAATAAAAATAACTGAAATAACTCTTCTAAACTAGATAAACATATTGTCACATTTTATATTATACATGATACGTATCTTTGACTTTATACAGGATGGTGCAAAAAAAGAGAAATCTTGTGCAATAAATTGGATGCATAAATTATGCAAATCAGTACATCTAATCTGCATGAATGTAATGTTGAGATTTCATTTTGACTTAGCTAATTCAATAATCAGTTTCCAATAGTAAAATATATAGTTCATATTTGTAAAGCAATTATTTTGTATGAATATTTTTGCAAAGTAAGTCAGCTGAGCTTGTGAAAAGGGATCCGTCTTTTTTGGTGCAGATAATCAAAAAGACTCCATTTCAAGAGGATTATTTAATTTAAATTAGAACTTTTTTCTAATTTCTACAATTTAATTAAAATTTATATTAACTAATTAAGGACCGTCCATAAAGTATGTCACACTCCAGAGGGGGGAGGGGGTGTAAGAAAGTGTGACAGTTTGTGACAGGGGGGATGGGGGTCAGGCAATGTGTGACGTCACACACTTATTTTTTAAAATTTGATCACTAATTTATTTTTTAATTTTTTTTCATTAGAATTTAATAGCTTTAAAAATAATTTTCAAAAAATTTTGTGAAACATTTGAATTAGTTTTATGTCAAAATAGCATGAAATGTGTATCTCCTGAATGTGTTGTTCACGATTCCTCTCGCTAGGAGCGCTAGCAACTATTCTACTATTAAAGCCATTTTAATAATGTGATAGTTCTTTTAAGGGGAAATTTTATATTTTTAATACAGTTTATTAGTGAATTGTCTTTTAGATTAAATTTTAATTAGGTGTTCGTTTTAAAAAAATTTGTTCGAAAGCGTGACATACTTTGGAGGGGGGGTCCCAATTTGTGACACTTTGGGACAGGGGGAGGCGGGGTAAAAATGGTCAAAAATAGCGTTGACATACTTTATGGCTTTATGGACGGCCCCTTAAGTCAGTTCAGTGACTATAAACTTACAAAGTTATAAGTAATTTAGTTAATATTAAACTTTATTATAAAGTTTATATTATAGGTTGATGACTCAATCACAGTGAGAGTAAAATTACTCAATAATAATTATAGTTATAGTTATAATATCTTAATATGTCTTATAATTATATTTTATTATATATCTATTGTCTATTACTAACCAAATTGTAAAAAGGCCTTCTGATCTCTAAGCCTTCTTACTTCTTTAATCTTGTAAGTGTGTAAAGCCACAAAGTGAAAAGTAAAAGTTACGTTTATTTTATTAGGATTGATTGTTGTTTGTAATTGCTCTTTTCGTAAATAAATGTATTTGCTCTTACTTTAGACTTTAAAATTTAAAATGCGTAGGCCCTGTCTCTCAAGACTCAAGACAAGACCCTTCTCCTTTTTTTTTTTTTTTTTTGGTTCAAATTCTTCTCCAGAACGACATGCGTTCTATCATCTAACCTCCTCAAAGAAAAAGAAAATTAAAATGCGTAGGCCCTGTCTCTCAAGACTCAAGACAAGACCCTTCTCCTTTTTTTTTTTTTTTTTTGGTTCAAATTCTTCTCCAGAACGACATGCGATCTATCATCTAACCGCCTCAAAGAAAAAGAAATGACCAATACCGTGTCGCGTAGTCTACTCAACTATTATAATTGAAAGCACAAGCATGAAATCAGTTCCGGGCCACACAAACAACAAAATATAATATTAAAAAAACAGCTGTTTATCTTGTAAACAGTGTAATGCCAGACTTTATGGTAATGATATGTAGTTTATTAAGAGCTTTTATTTTATTTTATCATTATTTTTTTAACAACTTTATTAAGTGTTGTCGTATAATTGAGCTTATTTTCTATTAAAAAAATGAGAACAGCGAAAATCCGAAAATATTAACCAGTAAAGATTTCTTCTCTTTTTTTTTTATTAGGACGACAATAATTTTCAAAATGAATACACTGCGAATTTTCTCTAAACAGGCAATATTTTGTTGAGCAAAATATATGTACCGTGGAAAAATGTACGTACCGATACCATTAACTTTCTTTCAATTATTCAACTAAAACTGCAGTGTAATCGATACTATCAACTATGTATCGTGCCTGATCTTATTTTGAGCGGAAGTCAAACTGAGTTGGCGGTAGGCTTAAAATTAACAAAACAAATTGTTTATACGAAAAATAGTTGAAAATGAAATGAAGTTTTAAGAATGAGGACAGTTTTTGTTCACTAAGTTGATCATTAATGCAAATAAATTTCATTGTATAGTGAGGTAAAAAATGTGCTCTAGGCTACTAACTATTACTTATACGTTTTTTTTTAAAAATGTAATAATAATTCTGAACGGGCAGGCCTGGTTTACACAGCCCTACTAATAACTATTATTATTGTTTCAAATTTGCCAATGAGCCCAATGGCTATGCCTAGTGAGCCTAGGTTTCTAAATCATAATTTGAGCTAATCTGTATTTAAATTTTAAGCTATATAAGCTTCCAATTGAGGCGACAACTTTTGAAACATTTCTGTCTATTGCCTCAAATTAAATCAATAAAATACATTGATTATTGATGGTGGGCCCTTAAATAAAAACTTAAAATGTTAAGAAGAAGGGCATCAAAATCAATTTAATGCATCAGGTATCGTTAGTTTTTGAGTGTCTTTGACTCTGTTGAACTTTGTTGACTTTTGAGCATTTTTACAGGCTACGGCTCTCTCCTACCAGTAGCGCTACTTACTACTGGTTGTAAGCACTTCTTAGAATTAGGTACACCCCCCCCCCCTTCCCCACCCAACCAAAACACCAGAAAAACTGGTATCATAATTTCATTGTCAAAATGGCAACCTCCACTTTTTAATTTACATGGGGCTAAGAGGGTATCGTTATTTAGCCTTTTATATTACTTAAAAGCAAACATCTTGCTTGCTCTTTTAAGAATTTATTAGATTTTTTTTTCGAGGTTGAAGTTTTGACTTCAAAAATTAACTGATCAATCACTTTTTTTTTTTAAAGATTTTATTACAACAAATTCTAATACCGGTACTAATATAATTATAGTATTATACATACAGTGAAATACGCTTAACATGAAAAATGGATTAACACAAAATAAAAATGCGGTCCCCTACAAAATACGAGGTATTTTCATACATTTTTTTTCTTTTAACAAACAAAAATTGCTGCACGCGAAAATATTTCGCTTCTATGAATGAACATAATACATACATCTGCCTGGGAGAATGTAGAGGGGTTTAAAGTATAAAAAAAGGCGGTGTCTCCTGTGAAAGAAGGCTAACTCTGCTTTAAATATCGACACCATAGGGAGAGCCGGTGAGAAGAGACAATGTTTATCTAAATTAAATTAATAGCACAATGGACGATGTTGAAAAATTTGATGCTATTTAAAGTAAATAGCGCTGTCCTGACAAATGCGCTATAATATATTTCTCAACAAAAAACCTTGAAATAGCGCAAACGATGTAAAACTTGAATTCTACAAGGATCTATGTGAGACATTGTGTTTTTTCCTGCGAATAACACATAATGCCACGCTGAAAACAAATTATGTCATGAACAGGCTTATTGCAGACTTATTGCTTCAATGATCACACTGTTCCCTGCTGTGTTTCTAAAATCATGTGATGAAATAGCATGTTTTCAGAAGTTTGCTTTAAGACTGTGACTGTGGGTTGTGAATGAATTATGGATATCGAGCATAAATTTCACCACCACACAGCGAAAGCAAGACGGTCAAAATCGCACCATGTGCATAAAGTACATATATTTTTTGGATGTTCATAAAAACAGATTCATCAAAAGCTGTGGGAAACATTTATATATGGCACCCTTCTGTCTTCGCGAGACGATGGAGTAGGTATGTAGTCCTACACTTCGACGAGTGGCTCGACAATCTCGACTGCATTTCTCGCAGGAGAATATTGAATCCTGGTTATGTTTGTTCTTCTGTATTGTTCTTTTTGATGCAAGGGCTTTATTTCGTGCATCTTCTGCCTTTTTTACTCCTTCATACACTGCCATCCGCCAGCTGGAATGTTGTTCAGCAATGATCTCCGATTTGTTATCAATGTTGGCTTCTCTCATGCTACTTTTGAAAACGTCCTTAAATCTCAGGAGTGGCCGTCCAACAAGTCTTTTCCCTTCTGCCAACTCTCCATACAACAGCATCTTTGGGATACAGCCTTCCTCCATTCTCCTTATATGGCCTAACCAGCGAAAGCGCCTCTTGCTAAGAGCGGAGAATATGCTAAACATTTTTGCATGTTCCAAGACCTCTGTGTTAGTGTTAGGCACCTTGTCCTGCCATCGAATGCATAAAATGTGGCACAGACATCTTTGATAGAACCTGTTAAGTTTCCGCTCATGACTGTTATATGTGGTCCACACTGCACTGCCATATAGGAGCGTACTAAGCACACATGCCTGATAGACACTTAGTTTTGTTTTATGGGTTAGATAGATATTATTCCACACCAGCTTATTCAGTTAGCCATAGTTGCTGCTTTTGCGATCCTGATGTTTATCTCTTCATCAAAGGAGAGAGAACTAGAAATATTAGATCCAAGGAATGTGAAATGCTCAACAACTGACAGATTATGGCCCTCAATAGATATGATTGGAGGGGACAGTGCTTCTTTCATCATAACATGTGTTTTCTGTAGACTAATTGTCAGTCCAAACTCTTTACAAGCACGTGATAGACAATTAACCAGCCCCTGAAGACCTTCTTCTGTATGAGAGGTTAAGGCGGCATCATCAGCAAACAGCAGTTGACGAATTAGTACCTTTTTTACCTTGGTCTTTACACGAAGGTGGGCGATATTGAACAGCCTACATTATGTCTACATTTAAAAGTAAATCAACTGCCTTGAGAAATTTCTTCTTCTTTTCAATGCACTAAAGTCTTCTTCTTTTCAATGCACTAAAGTCTTCTTCTTTCATATTATTGAGTATGCTTTTTATTCTGGCTGAACCTGTGAATAGCCCCACTTTTGCTTTGGTCCCTAGAATTTGTGCTTATCATTGGTTTCACTGTTAACCATTTTCAGGAGCTGCAGGAAGGGCTTACTATTTTTAAAAAGGCTGCCACATCTTGTACAGACAGTTAAAACACTTATACACTTCACAAATGCACAACACAAATGAAAAATAATACTACATTTACAAATAAATAAAAAAATATATAAAATATATTTTTAATTAAGATAAAATCAAAACTAAAAAAGTGAAACTCTGTCTATTGATCCCCAAACATGATAACCTTTGTCGTTCATTTACTCTACCAGAAGACCACACAGGATTGTATCAAATAGTCACTGCTCATAACCAAACAACTGATATTTGAGCGTTTTCCATAAATGACATCATGCGTATGGGGGGGGGGGGGGGTTTTGCATGTGTTTTTTAAAAATGTGTGATTGTTGACTTGTTTAAATTATGTGATAGTTGTGTGTAAGTCTGGATCATTTACTCTACCAGAAGACCACACAGGATTGTATCAAATAGTCACTGCTCATAACCAAACAACTGATATTTGAGCGTTTTCCATAAATGACATCATGCGTATGGGGGGGGGGTGTTTTGCATGTGTTTGTTAAAAATGTGTGATTGTTGACTTGTCTAAATTATGTGATAGTTGTGTGTCAGTCTGGGGAGAAGAGTCACAATTTGGAGTGTGCCCTTGACATCTTTTATGGATGGCCTCTTATCCTTTTGCCCAAAATAGATTAATTGAGGTACCATACTCTTCCATGTTTTGTTTTTGTAATGAGTGAATTGAACTGTATCTCATATTTATGAAACTTAGTTTGTATTTTATTTAGCTAAGCTAATTATTTTTTTTTAATTTTAGTACCGGTAGGCCTATATGCTATATAAGTAATTGAAGCCTGTATGATATAACTTTAATTTTTTTCAGAACTAATTTATTAAGAAATGGAAGTTGGGATTCCACATGTGAGCCAATTGCAACAGGCTCGACAGCGAATTGAAAAGTGGTGTGAATCAGAACTTGAGATTGTATTGAAAATAGTTAAAATAAAGAATTCAACAAATGAGGTGGACAATCTAAATAGTGAGTCTTCTATATTATTTTCACATTGCTCAAAAAAACATTTTCAGAGATGTTAGTGAAAAGGCTTTATATAATAGTTTGTGTGCAGAGCAAAGGGTTCAAGTTAAAAATAAAAATCAACAGTATTCCTCTTTATTCAACTAAGAAACAAAGTTAAAGCTCTAAATAGTGATGGTTTTTTAACAATGATATTTAGCTTTTAAATTAAATGCCTACCATAATTTTGAGAGTTGTTTACAATTGACTGATAGGATGCTCCTTAATCAATTTTTTAAAAATAATATCATGTGACTCTCACTTTCAGAACAAATTCAAGACTTGATATCCAAAATTAAAAGTCAGCAAAAGATAAAGAAAAAAGGTTAGAACAGAATGAATTGATTTGTCACATTTGAGTGGAAACTTTGGAGTATAATAACAGAAGTATATTTGAAAGTAGGGTAGCACAGATTGGCAAATTAGAAGATGGCGGAACATTCGCGATGTTAATATTTTATATTTAGTTTATTGATGCCTACTGAATGGCTGATATAAATTTTATATAATTTATTGTACTCTTTCATAATTAATGGTAATGTGGGTACGGGTAAAGCATAATAACATTAAATGGCTGAAGAAATGGAAGCCAGAGTTTCTCAATCCTCATAACATGAAAAATTTGTCTCTGATCACCAATGCCACTTAGTTTACAGGCTAATAAGCACCCAGAAAAACTGTTCGCTTTACATATGTAATTAGCGTATGCACGGGTAGCACAGATTGGCAAATTAGAAGATGGCGGATTTACATACATATGTAATTAGCTTATGCAAGGTTTGAGGGAACTTTTTTAGCTATTATTCAAAAATATATTTGTTCACGCCGAAAAACCCCTGATTTATTTATTACACAATAAAATCAAATTTCTTTTTTTTTTTTTTAGATATGGAATATGTTATAAAAAGCAGTTTAACCTACTTTGTTAACATTTTTTACAGTGTTATTTCTTAATAAAGTTTTACATTTATTACTTAGCCTACATCAGTAAAGTTCAAGTGCAAAAAGAACTGCAGTCAGAGTGTGAGGTGAAACGATCATCCAGAGCTGGGAAGGAGAAGCTAATTGCTACTCTGAAGGAGGAGATAACACATCTACAAGTACAACTTGACTCTTTCAAAAAAAGTATGTTTTTGTGTGTGTTGACCTCTTGATTTAGATTTATAAGCAAATAAACTATGAATGGGAAGTCTTTGTGAAATCTAATTTTTTTTTTATTAAAATTTTAAGAATGCAAAATATTATGCAAGAAATATAAAACTAAATACTTTATAGTTGGAATAGTTTCTCTATTTCTCTAATTTTATGAAGGAGGCACCCATTGCGATGAAAAGTTTAAACTTTTGGAAGAAGAGGAAGTTCTTTCGTGCAAGCTCCTGGGACTCCAGATTAAAAAAGTTAAAGGTAATCATGCAGTCTGAAGCTTTACTGCATCTTGATTTATCATGATCTAACAAGTCGTATACGTTTCTTAGTTTTAATTGTTGCACCAATTATATCAAATGCTTAGTTTCATCATGCTGAAATTGCAAAGCAGATGTTACATTATTTTATATTTATCATCGTAGGTCCCTGGTTGCAGTTTGTCTTTACACAGATTGATGTCAACAAACCTGAGTCATGTTGCTTCTTTTTGCTGAAAATAGATGAAAGCCGTAAATATATAGGTATGGCCCACGTACATCCTAAATGAAATTTTGGTTTTAGCCTACAGTCACACATAAATATATTTTGGTGTCTTAAACTATTTTTTTCTTACATGTAAAAAAGAAAATACACATAACTTCTTGTTAATTTTGTATGCTCTAAGAATGGTGATTAAATATATATATTTTTTTTTTTTTGGTATTTCCAGTGGGGGATTGTCAGCCCAAAGTAAGAGACATAGACCAACTTTTAGAAAGACTCAACTCCACAAACAACCTCAGAGCTTTTGTCCATGCCATGAGGAAAAGATTTGTCAGTCATGTGCGATAATAATTGTAATGTATTTTTTTTTTTTTATATTTGACCATAAATATAGCCAGCAGTTTATATATTACAGATGTTCAGAAAATACCAAATCACTGTTACAAGTTTTTTAATTCAAAATTAAAACATTACACTGAACAAAAGAGTTACTAAAAATCTAAATGATTGTACTTTAAACCATAAACATTTCTGCCTGTCAGTGACAATAATTTTACACAAGTGCGAAACAAGATTAATGGCTTTGGTGACATTGTATGATTTTTATAACCACTATATTCTGTTAATTATGTATGTTCCGGTTATGTTTACAGCTGTATTTTAAGGAAGACAAATGTAATAATATTGATTTGCTGTACATTAAGACTTCTAAAAGTAATTTATTTGGCGTAAAGACCTTATTCATAGTCTGCTCTCTAGAATAAGATACAGTCTAGTTCCATCCCTACTAAAACTACTTAATAATGTCATAGGAACTGAAAAAACTTTGGCTTATGTGGTCAAGGAGACAAAAATGTAGTTAATCATTGGTAAATCAAGATTCCAATTGAAACATCCATTGTCAACTTTTTAATTTTGCATAGTCCATGTTTTAAGTTTAACACAACTCCTTTGATTGTCTAAACTAGGAGAAAAAAAGTTTATTGGAGTTTGTATTATTTCATTTTAACCATGAATTACTACTTAAGCATATGTGAAAATAAAAATATTTGTAATCCCAGCTACATGAACATGCCTTCATAAAAACTCATTTCAATTACAGCCAAACTATAATGTTCTCTTACAGAAATTGTAGGTGTCTTTGATCTTACAGTTACAGAGAGAAATATATTTCAATTCTGGTAACTTTTGAAATTTATAATTTTTTTTTTTTTAAAGTGTGTGAAACTCCATTTACTGTTCTTTTAAAAAATCTGTCCTTGATCTTTGTTGAAGTAATTTTACCAGGACAAGGTATTTGTAAAAATATGGGTTTTTTTTGTTTTTTTTAAGTAATTTTATCAGGACAAGATATTTGTAAAAATGTGTCTTTGTGAGACTTATCTAGATGTGTTGAGACTGATAAGGGTTTTTTTATAAAGACTTTTTAATTGTATTGAAGTACCTTGTGTTGCAAGGCTGCAAGATATTTATGAATCAAAGCAACTTATTTTTACCAGATGTAACATGCTTGAAACTATTGCACACATATTTTTGTCTCATTTGCCAGTTTAAAAAAAAAATTCCTTAACTTTCTTTATAAATTAAAATCTCTGAATAAATAAAGGTTGGAATGACTTAATGAAAAATAGACTTATTATAATTTGCAGTTACGTTACTTATAAATTATGTGTGCATCATATTTGAAGTGTATATAAAAGTCTGTTGCCAAAAATCATCTATAATGTTTTTAGGTTAATACTTTAAAAAAAAATTTAGCTTTTGAGAACATCTGTAAATCTGCCGCACATTAATTTCAAAATGTTCATTATTACCATCTGGTTACAAGTTTTAGGACTAATCTCAGACCCTGCGGGGAATTAACCTACAGCACCTGCCTCAACTCTTTTAACTTACTTATTATTGTTACACTAAATCTGGTGAGGTTGATTAAGAAACGTAAATAAATCAATTTGTGCATAAATGAATGTCTGCCATAAAAATACACTTCCAATTGATGAAAATAACGTTAATAATGCCTAGACAATGAGTCATCTGCAGGTTTTATACAGTCTTGTACTATTTTTAGCTTCTGTCGATATAAAAAATTATGTATATTGGGAATTCTAACAGTCGACTGGTTAAACAAAAATTCAGTTGTTTCATATTGATATTTTACTCCTAGGAAAAAAATAACTTTGTTAAAGACACTTAAAGTAAAAGTAAGATGAGAACACTTAAAAAGAACCCAGATATCTTGGCCAATTTTGAAAATCTGGACAACAATGAGGAAATTACAGGTCTATACTTTATAGATCCTGTTTGAAAAATATGTTACAAAGTTATATAAGCACGGCATGTAAATTGATGAAGGTCATACTTTAAAATTTAAATGCAGAAAAATGAATGCTGAACTGTGCATTACATTTTGGTTGTGATGAAACAATTTATTTTTTTACTTTTTAACATTTCCGTCCAATAGTAATAAATATTTAAATAGTGTGGAAAATGTTCTTATTCACACGTTTTTACACAAAATACAGGTACTTAATATAACCAATACTAATAGAGTTAGTGTGAACAATTGAGTTATTCTGGGAATTGGCCACCCTCATATCAAGCTTTGCCAGTACATTGTTTCTTCCCTTGTGCAAGACGTTCTCTGTAAAAGCTACTGTTATCCTGCGGATCTCAAACTGTTACGTGGTTCACTTTCAATCATTTTTTTATGGATTAGACTTATTAGAAATTGACTGCAAACTTTAAGCTAAAGGATTTATAATACCAGGTAATTTATACCCAAATATTTTAATTATGATGAGCAAACAGGAAAAATTAAGTACTAGTTTAATTTAAAAGCCATCCGCTAAATAATAATTACAACCAAATAGATTCCTGAAATATTTAATCACTTGTCAACTTAAGATACTTTTTTTTTCCACAAGTAAGTACTGGTAGCTATGATATATAAACATTTTTAAAAATTGTTTTAGTTTTATGTAGACCCTATCTATCCCAACTTTTTGGAACCATTCACGTTCTAATCACATAGAAGTAAAAGGTTATAATTTTCCAGTTGCTGTCAGTTATAAATATTTAAAAAAGTAAATGTTATCAGGGCATCTTTATTTGAGGTGTTAATTTGGTTCACTAAATCTCAAATCACTACAGTTTTTATCCAGTTGATATACACATATCAAATTTTTTTCATTGACTCATAATTCAGTCTATTACTGTTAGCACAATAAACGGTAAAGAGGCTGTTCATGCTGAGGAATGAAAAGAAACCGAACTCCTAATTCCGATCTGAATATTTTCTTTCTGACTCTTACATAAAGTATGGTACAGAAACTTTACCCAGTTACAAAATAATAGTAAATTGAGCTTTATTTCTGACCTGCTATTTCCAGTTGATCATTTATTGAATCATAATGTGTATGTTTGGGAGGCACCAGTGGACCTGTCCAACTCTGCCTGCCTTTAAAATGAAAATACATCTCGAACTCTAATAAAAATGTTATCCATACATTTTTTAAAACTGTAACCTCCCCCCACCACTTCCATTTTCCCCCAAGCCCCACATTGGGGAACACTGCTGTTTAACTGACCAAGGTACAGTGGAAAATTTAAAATGTCTAATAATTCTAAGTATATCAATAACCATATCCACCCCAATTACAATTATAATTATTTGCCATGCAAAACAATTATTAACTTATAATAATAATTAAGAGGTGTTTTTTTTGGGGAGGGGGGGGGGGCATCAATCCATGACAAAGATGTGATGAGACTTTTAGCTGAAAGTTGGGCAAGGTGGTTTTTTAAAGGAGTATAAGCTTTGCCTCTCTTTAAACACCTGGTGAACCCAGGAGAACATTGAATGTACTATACAGCTTGTTACAGAGGTCTCAGGAGAACATTAAATGGACTATACAGCTTGTTACAGGGGTGTCTCAGGAGAACATTAAATGGACTATACAGCTTGTTACAGGGGTGTCTCAGGAGAACATTAAATGGACTATACAGCTTGTTACGTGGGTGTCTCAGGAGAACATTAAATGGACTATACAGCTTGTTACGTGGGTGTCTCAGGAGAACATTAAATGGCCGATACAGCTTGTTACGGGGGGGTGTCTCGGGAGAACATTAAATGGCCGATACAGCATGGTACGGGGGGTGTCTCGGGAGAACATTAAATGGCCGATACAGCATGGTACGGGGGTGTCTCGAGAGAACATTAAATGGCCGATACAGCTTGTTACGGGGGTGTCTCGGGAGAACATTAAATGGACTATACAGCTTGTTACGGGGGTGTCTCAGGAGAATATTAAATGGACTATACAGCTTGTTACGGGGGTGTCTCGGGAGAACATTAAATGGACTATACAGCTTGTTACGGGGGTGTCTCGGGAGAATATTAAATGGACTATACAGCTTGTTACGGGGGTGTCTCGGGAGAACATTAAATGGACTATACAGCTTGTTACTGGGGTATCTCAGCGTTTCAGGAATTTTTATTTTTGCCATGCCATAGGGCCCAAGCGACTTAATTAATTAATATCTAGACACACTGAAATATACTTTTAACCATATTTAAGGAATCGAATAAGATCTTGAAACTATTTCATATAACAGCAACACATTATTGTAAATGTTATTCACTTTTAATTTAAACCAAAAATAATAAATTAAATGTGGTTCGTTTATAACCTGGATCTGAATTACTTCCATGAAATTCAAGACACTCATGTACTCAGTATGAACAACAATCATGCAATACAACAATTAAAATGTGGATATGACAACAAGCCATTACCAGTACGTTATTACCAGGTACAATTTACTTTCATAATATATTTGTCAAAATTGTGTTTTCATAAGACTTTAATCTCAGAATGTCACGATACTTTAATTAATTAAAAAACACACAAAAAGAATTTTTTTTAATAACATGTACAATTTTAGATCCACAGAAAGTCATAATAGTCCACATTGAATATGGTGACTTTTATTTCTTTAATGAATCAATGTGAAATGTTCAAACTACACAATTTTACATAAATACCTTCAACAGTCAAGGGGGAAAACAACAACAAAGAATAACAAATATTTAACTATTGGCCTTAATAATAATCAAACACAACATAAAATATGTCCAGCAATAGACACATTGTTTCAATCATTAACCAATCAAACACTCATTATTTATTAATGTAAGATAAGTTATAAAAAAAAAAAAACTCTCAAGATGAGCAGGTCAATGTTCTAAATTCCCACAGGATATGAGTGAAACTTAAGGGGTAAAAATAAATGTTCAGAGAATCTTTAACTTTATATTTTTATGAATAAAATAAACCTCAGTTTGAGCCACTATAAATATTGTTACTTTATTAAGTATTCCAATGCATTTGTAGTTTCCAGCATAAAAGGTATTTTTTAAAAAAAACTTTTTTTTTATTATTTACAAAACCAAAAAAATACATTTTTGCAATGGTAGTTAACTATTGTCTTTCAAGTCAACTGACATTCTCCTGGCAACTATCTAGTCAACTCATATTCATTCTCATGGACACTATCAAATCAACTAACATTGACCTGGCAACTATCTAGTCAACTCTTATTCATTCTCATGGACACTATCAAATCAACTGAAAAGAATTCATCTTTGCACTATCAAGTCAACTGATATTCATTCACCTGGCTAATAAATAAAACTAATATTCATCTTGCAATTATTTTCCCAGCAATAAATAAAAATATGCTAAAAGACAAAAATAAAACAAATTAAAAATATTTCTAATTATTGAATATTAGTGTTTTCGCAAAGGAATACAAATATGTACAATATTTGGCTGTAGCCAAGGTTCAACTAAAACATAAAAATGAAGTAAAAAAACAAAAACTCTGCGACTAAAAGAGAGAACACAGACCTGTTTACCCTCAAACTCTTAAAATCGTACAATATCATCACATAATCGTTCAATACATTCTCTTTATAGAAAAAAAAACGTGCAGTATATATAATTTATACACCTCAAAATCGTACATTGTACGCCAAAATCGTAAGAGTAAACAGGTCTGAGAACATAATCAGTAAACTTGACATTATTATACAATATTTAAGGTATGACTTGTACAAAAATAGTCCTCCAGGAAGACCTTCTGTACAATTACAACAAGAAAAAAATGTTATATTAGATTTTATTAGACATTATTAATATTAACATGATACATCATATCAACTGAATTAAATTAACTGTGTGATCGAAATAAAGAAAAGTAGTTCAATATTTTTTAATGAATATGCTGTCATCACAGATTAGTCATAAGGTAGTTAATGTTTTTATACATTACCAAAAAAAAAAAAAAATTAACTAAAATATTACTTTAAAATTCTAAAATCTAACAAAACGGATGTCACGCTCATCAAAAGTAAAAGCTTCCCTTATGAAGTGTGGAGGAGAATAATGGTCTGATAAATGATGGATTGGAAGTGTCAGATAATGGTAAATAGAGTGATCAAATCTGATTAAAATGTTCACCTTGTTAGCTTCTATCGTATAAAACAATACCATCTGTAAAATATATAAAATGATATGAAGAAAGTCAAACTTAAAATGCAAGGCATTCATAGAGACAGTCTTTCTATGTTCCAAAAGCTCCAGTCTCACAACCTTGTCATCACTACATACAACATAAAACACTACTCCCTTCATTTACTCAACACATCATCTTGTTGTTTCATTTCTGTTGGACATTCCATGAGGTAAGCTCACACAATATTCTGTGAGGTAAGCTCACATGTCATTCTATGAGGTAAGCTCACACTACATTCTATGAGGTAAGCTCACACAACATTCTATGAGGTAAGCTCACATGACACTATGAGGTAAGCTCACAAGACATTCTACGAAGAAAGCTCACAAGACACTCTATTAGGTAAGCTCATACGACGGTGGCTGAACAAGTTTCACTTCACAGATAGTAAGTACTGCAACATAGGACAGTTCTGCATGGTTCAATCCTATTATTACGGTTATTAAATGCACGACTCAATCAAAAGTGTTTGCAAATAAATTCATGAACAACACATAGACTGAACATACATTGAGCCCTCTGCCTTTAATTTTTATTTTGTATCTGCATTGCACAATGAGTTCAGTATAAGATGACAGAGACATTTCAATGCACATCTTAAATGATAGTAATTGTATTTATTTTATTCAATGAAAATGTAAGTCATGAAACAGATATCAAGAAACTGGACTCTCAAGAAACTGGACTCAGTAAAATAATTCATTGGATTACAGCTACAGAAATAATTTATTTTTAATTCATTGGTTTTGCCAAAATCAGATTAAAAAGTGAGAAACATTTCTCAACACATAAAAGCCAGTAAACAAGAAACAAAAATTTAATACAATTTGAAAATAAAACATGAACAACTTAAAAACATCAATTCATTTATTGCAATTAAGGATGTTAATATAATAAGTGAACTTAGAAACTGATAACTGTGGGTTTCTAATTTACAAAGCAATGCCCCATTTTAAAGAGAACATTTATTTTAAAAATAGTACTTTTACTATTATTTAATAAATAAATAAAATACTTTTTTTGTTAAAATAGACAAGCTTTAATAAGTGTAAAATTGTTAGGCTGCTTGGTAATGCTACGCATATCTGTCCATACCGCACGCTGTATCAATATGAGCTGTTTAATGTTAAAAAGCAGAGTGGACAGGTTTTTCATGTTTTTGTTTGGGTGGAAAAGAAGTTGCCTTGTTATGGCAAGTGTGTATTCTTTGATACCTACTAACAAGTAGGCTGATTACAGTCTGGCCACTGGTAATATATCTACTCTAGAACATGCTTTGCACACATTAAGCACAGCACACATCAAAGGAGACAAGTGTTGTTAACAGTTGAGTAGCCAGAGTTTCTTACAACTGAGGCGGTCTTTGATTTTTTCCTAGCCTAATTAGAGAAATCTACAATGCATAAGGAATACACATAACAAATCAGTTATGTAGGGTACATGAAGTTGAAAGAAAATACCCCTGGAGAGAACTGTCCTCTCCACACCCTAAACCATTTTAGAAATTCTATTATATTTACTACCATTAATTAACAAAATGATTGAGATTTTTTTTCAATACTGAATCAGATTATTTCAAGTAATGTCTACTTTCACTTTTAACTTTTTAGAGAAGAAAATGGTGCTTTCAAATAACGACAAATAGGTAGGAACATTAGTATGAGAACCAAACTTTGTGTTCCTACTGTAATTGAGCATATACATCAGAAATACAAAAATTTTGAAGATTTCTCTAAGAATGGCTTATTTCTGTCATCATGGCTTATATGTGCCAGAATAACTTATATGTGCCTCAATGGCTTATATGTGCTGAAGGGGTTAAAACTGATTAAATATCAAAGAAAGCTTTAGAATTGATGAGCATCCAAGTTTCTCACTGCATTATTAGCATTTAACAAAGTCATTAAGTCATTCAAAGAAAATACGTTCATCTACTAAAAAAAATAATAAATTCAAGGGACAATCGGTGAACAAGGAAATTAACAGACATTTTAATAGCTAATCTAAATAATGAATTCTGAATGGTCCGTTTATCAAAATGACCTTTAATGTGTATCACATCCCCATGGACTGCCCTATTAACACGGGAAGCTCTAGCCAGTCATCCACTTAAATTCATTCAACTATCTTGAGATGACTGAAGAGACAGAAATATATTTTGTAACTTCTTGGCATCATGAATTTGATGAATCTTCTTAGACAATGACACAAGATCTTTCTGCACTCTGGCTCGCAGCTGATCAATGCTGAGATTGGTCTCGGCCTCCGGTTTTGCCGAGGTGGATTCCCCTTCTAGGGCTGCAGCCATCTGCCTGAAGCTGTGAATCAAGTGAGGGTGTTTACAAACCCCGGCTCTCAACAAATATTCTGGACATGTGCAAATGTAGCGGTGAACACAAAACTTACACACTGGACACTTCAGTCCACACTCACATGTGGTTAGACCAGAATCCAGGACTGAAAAAGCATTAGTTTCAGATGATGATCGAAAATACCATTCATCACCTGTAGGGGATTGATAGAAATCTAAGCCAGAAGAGGGTAGATTGTGCTTCATGGTGATATTCTTAACTACAGTCTGATGTCGTACATGACTCGGGAGAATATGAACTCTGATTTCCAAAAAGGTATTAAGTTGTAACAGTCTGTGAAACAAAACATCAACCCTTAAATCCGATCTGATAAAAAATCCCAAAGCTTTCATAGTCTGAGTAAAAGGTTCAAGAAATGGAACATACTTTGATGCTGGAATATGCCGATAGCAGCTGGCCCAAAATTCATCTTTACACGACTCAAAATATGCAGATTTTAAATAATCCAGAAACTCCTGGTGTGGCTTGAGCACTGCAAAAATGCTATTCATGTAGCCTTTGAATGCTTCAACACTGGTAATAAGACAACTAACGGATAAATAATTGGATATTTCTTTCTGTAACCTCATGTCAACAATTTGGCTTTTTAGCCGATGTTTCAACACATTTTGAACTTCCCAAGTGCAAAACATTTTTTTCAAAGGTTTAGGGAAATGCTGTGACCAAAGCTTAAACAGGGTCCAACTGATGTCTCCTAGAAAAATCTCAGTTTGTAGAGGACCCACGTTTGATTTTAACATTTTGAAAAACTTCCCAACAGTAATGTTATCATTCTTGTTGCTAATGAGCCACGCCACCGGCAGTTCATCGGTGCCCTCAACAAATACTAAGATGGTCATGATGTACAAACCCCCGGCAGTCTGCTTCTTGGGGAGGTCTACACACAGACATTTTTTACCATAGTCTATCATCATCTGCTTTTGGAATTTTGTCTGAATGGCCACACAGAAATCATCCTCAGAAAAGTTGTCAATCGCTTTCCCTTTATTTTTATAAAAGATAACAGGATTATCCCCAGGATTTTTGACCAAATCTTTAACATAAGACTTGATACTAAGTTCAGCTTCCTTGTCCCTCTCAATGGCATCATTAAAAGTTAAATCCGAGTACTGCGACCTTATAGTATTAGCAAGGGCCTCTGGGTTGTCCAAATTTTGACCATATTCCTTGAAAACTTCTGAAACCAAATCATCTGGACGCACTTTGGCAGCAATGCATTCTAAAATGTATTCATTTATATTCAACTTATTTTGAGATGAATATTTGTTTTTAGCAAGTCGCTTAGGAGTTGCATCACCGCCTCCATTGGTTACTATGTCTAACTTTCTCTTCAAGGCCGGTCTTGGGTGGCTGCTGCAGACCTGTGGATCAAAGTCTGATCTGAGTTTTATTTTGCTCATGTCTATGTGGTTAGTTGACAGCCAATAGATGAGAACATGGCGGAGGTAAAAAGAATACTCTGTCGGGTCGGTGAGGTAGAGGTTCAAATCCTTGTTGATAGGCTTCATCAGCAACTCAAACAGATCTTGGTCAAGAGCGGCTATGGCAATGCATATCATGGCAATGACCCCACAAACATCAGAACAGGTTTGCAGCGGGTAGTTGGTGCACTCCTCTGTGCACTCATGCTGCTCACCGTTGGGCTTGTGTGCCATCCTCACAGTTAACTGGCTGCTGTGAGAAAGACCCAAAAAATTGGTATACTTAATAATGCAGGTACAAAGTTTATCAGGAACTGGCCAACCTAGAGTGTCACAATAGGACAAGGTGCTTGTAGTAATGTTAACTATGGCTATTGACCAATGATCACCAGGGGTCTTGTCTGTACCCAGGTAAACATCTCCATCATCTTGCCTGCCGACACTCATAACAAAAACAAGTTGCTTGATATCCTGTGCAGACTTGCTGCTCAGCAGTTTTTGTAAGGAAGCCTTCCTGATGGCTGGATCCAAGACAAAAAAACATGTATGATCTTGTTGTTGATTGATGCAGCGAGACAACCAATAGAAGTGGGATGTCACAAGCCAACCCTTTCTACCTTCCGAAGACACACTTGCCAGTTCTTTAGGGGTCATACCTATATAACAAAAAAGCCAGTATAATTTGTTTTAAAGATGGTGCCTCAGAACATCCCAACCAAAGGTTAAATAATGGAAGATGTAAACAAGTGAGGAGAAGCATTAAAATCATGAATGTGAAGCATTCAGCATATAGCCTTCTCCAAGAGGAAAATAGTTTGTCTTTTCAAAATTAGAATCGAAACAAGACAAAGGAAAACAAACCATACATCCCAAATGGAACAATTATTTGTTAACAGCCACATCACTGGCTTGTAATTAAATTTCTATCATGAATTTACTGTATAATGAACCATGTAGTACATCAGAGTCTCCTGATAAAATGTTGCCCGCTTCCCATATAGTTGTCAAAAGTCAATGAAATACTGAAAATTATGTTATAAGAAAAGTAAATCACAGGCAACTGACCATAGCCTGGAACCATTCTGTCATGTGGCTGGTTCCAAATAAGATCTTTGAAAGTGTTGATACATTTCTCTGGAATGTCACTGCTGACAACTTGTTCTGTGGGTCGATGGAAGGGTCGCTCAAACCATTTGGCCTCGTATTCACACGCTGATGGCCGGTAAATTAAACGAACCGGACCAGGCTGATCATCATTTAAATCTGAAGTGATAAAGCAAAAACTAATATTATGTAAATGAAGCACAAGTAGATTAAAGATAAAGATGGATGATTGAAAACTAAACTCCATAACAACTATATACTGGTTTGGCCTCATGCAACTATTCTAATGTGAGTACTTGCCTGAATTCACCAAGGAAATTAATGTGATGTCACGTTGTATATGAGTTATATTTCTTACCCTTAGAGATTTTAATTCAGTTGATTTATATCCATTTTGAATGCAAATAAATAAATTGAAGTTTTGAACGCTAAGGTGTACATCATAGTGGTGAAAAAAGTGTTCTATTTAATAAATTATTGTACTTCATTTCAATATCAACTAGCCGAATTGCCTGCATCAAGGTATTTTAATCTGAAAACTCTAGTTGGTTACATTGAATCTGATTGCTGACCTGAGTCTCAAGACAATAAAAAAAAGTATTCATAAATACAAGTACAGGGGGTATATATGGTTTTACTGTAAATGTTTTAATATATGGATTCTTATAATCTGGCTTCTCAAACATATCAATCTGCATTGTGTTTTAAATAATTTTTAAATGGTTACCCTCGATCTCCTAAAATTATCCAATATCATCTCTGAATCATACATCACAGTATCTTAATGGTAAATAAATAAACATACAGTATATATAATATATACAATAACTGCTCGCATCGCGTGTTGAGTTGGACCGATTTAAGGCAACTTCCAAAAGTTTATATTGCAAACTGTGGTCACTTTTCTTTGCAGACTTGTATCTGCTATATAGACTATCAATTAATATTTGGGTGACTGTGCAGATCACATTATGACAGTCTGCCTTTTGTAAATTTAAAGCTACGGTGCAATTTAACTGTGTTTGAAAATTGAAGTCAGATCAGCATAAATCAAATTTATTGAAATAAAATGAATTAACAAATAAGGATGTCATTTACAAAATCTACAATCTGTGCAGAACAGTTGAGCATGCATTCTCATTTTTTTTATAAAAACCACCTAGTTTCCTATGTTTTTGCACTTTCCGCAGTTCAGCTGAAAAACATAATTTTCACAAAATTACGTCATATAGCACAGAGCAACAAAAAAAAACCAGTACTGACTTAAATCGTCACTAGACTACACTAATATTACTGCTGTTGTGTCTTGCAAGTTTATTATGAAAACATAAAGCAATAATATGACCATAACCACCATCATTATGAAAATTTGGCGACGGTGCTAATTTTAATTTACAGACATATATTTAGACTACCCCTTGGCACAAAATCTACTAAATCAACCCCCCCCCCCCCACACACCTTTTTCACTCTCATTGCAAACGTAATTTAATTATAGATGTTCCCCAACCAATGGTATTTCTCGATCCATTCACCACTCGATATAGAAAGGAGCTAAAACTAACAATTGAAAATGTGCTTAAAATTTTTGTTTTCATCGAAGAAACTATCAGAATGTATATATTTTCAACCCGGTCTCTTAAAATTGTAGTTTTGAAAGGTCTTGGCTTATATAAAAGACATCTCAAAATATCGTAAGAGGAAACAGGTCTGCAGCACAATTAATTGATTTCTACCTTATGACATTTGTCCCCTAATTCATTTGATGCAATTTTCAGCAGGTTCTCAGCTAAAAGGGAGTCAACTTTGGAAATAGAGTAAGGCAACAATGTGGCTATGTGAGGGTTTAATAGATATCTGAAAATAGGATGTCAACTAAATTTCAGCTCTCTGAGACAATGGAAAGTTGGTCCAAAATATTCAAGTGGTCTAGAACAGCAACTGAACAGCCCTTGAGGTTTCATTTTTAGTAATTAAGAGTGTGATTAACCAAAAATAACTTGAAAAGGTACAGACAAGACTTTTAAACATGGCATGACAAACTTAAAATTTAAGCGTAGCTTTAAATAGAACTTTTACTAGCGTAGCCTGTCCTTTATTGTGGTCTACCTCTTGTTAAAACCAAAATTTTCTTGTAGAACAAGTCCCTATGCTAAATATCAGATAGAACAGCTATTGAAATTCCTAAAAAAATTTAAAACATTAACAACACAACCAATTAAATAAAAGCTGCTAAAAATTATTTTTAAGCTATCAAACTATATTGCACTAAATATATTTTTGTCCACAAGTGGTTCATATTTTAAACAAATAGATGCGTAAGTCATAATTTATATTCATACCATTATCCTCTATAACCACACAATTTGCACCAGCACTTTGTTCGGTCATTGTAAATTTTCTGTAAGAAAAATTATTAGTTATATTCAATAGTCAAGATAATTGCAACGTTTACAAAAATTTACATTAAAATTACTGATGATTGATGAATTATTTAACCATTAAACCAAGTGAATTGATAACAGACTCTTAGCCTAAGAATTTGCAAACAAAGATAAATTGAATACAGCAATTAGTTAGCATAAAATAAAAAGCAAAAAACAATTGTTTTTTTTAATGCACTAATTCTAATACAAGTCTCATCATCTCACAGTTAAGTCAAGTCAGTGTAATAAACCTATTCCTTCTTATCCTAAATAATAATGAAATGATAAATGACTAAAATATAATAAATCACATGCCTTCTTTTAGCCTAAGCCTAAGCTAAGAATACTTACTACTAACAACAACCGTATGGGTGTAGTCAGTGTAGTGTACCTTTCTCTCTTTCCTCGCCTCAACAAGCAGTAGACTATCACTTAAAAGTAAATGTTTTAGGTTTAAACTGACAGTGACAACTAGAAAAGACTTGAATTGGTCTTAACTCATTTATTATAGGTAGTCTTTAGTTTTAGTTTTGTAGGCTGAACTTATTTAACGATGACGATATAGATTAGAGTAGACCTGGTTCCAATCAACTTTTAAAACTTAATTATTTTGATTAACTTTGAATTTGTTGTAGGCTTTAGGCACTTCCCCTTTTTAAATTTTAAAGGGGATAAGAATAAGAAGGCTGACTGAGTAGTGAGTAAGACAGTAAAAAAAAAAAATTAGATTTAGAGTGTCACCAAACTTTTTTGCCACTATCACTATCACAATTAATAAATTATTAATTATGTCTAAAAACTAAAAAAAATTAATTAGGCCATATCTAAATCTAAACATTCTAATGTCAGGTGAATGAATGTGATAATGAGTGTCACTGAATAAGAATGTGTTACTAAGTAGACCTACTAAGTAAGTTAATATTGTCAGAATATTGTCCCTTTCACAATCAAACTTCAAAGCCTGTGGTGGGTGATATTGACTGAAAATGTTAGGATACTTAAAAACTTTTTTTAGAGTCTTTCATTTCAGTTTCAGTCTTTGTTATTTGTTCAGATTAAGATTAGGCCCACAATTAGGCCACCTAAGCCTAAGAAGAGTTAGTAAAAGTAAAGTTAAGTATGGTAGAGGGTCTACTGATATGACTTAAGAATAGTCAGGACATAAATTATAATTTTATATAATATTTAATAAGTATCTGACAGTAGAATAGGCAGCAGGCACTTTCACTTAGTCGCCACTTTGTCTTTTTATATATATTATTTTATTGTACACAAGCATGTACCTTAGTATGGAGACCTCAATCTACATTCAATGCGGCTAATGCAGCTGGAAGATAATGGTATAAATAATACGTCTACTAAAAATGCATTTTTTTAAAAATACTATTATGCCAAATCCAAATAATTTGTGGTTTGTGGATCGGTGCGGCGCGTTTAGTAAAGCAAAAGGGGACTTCACTTGTTTTTAAGCTTGTGGAAGTAGCTTTACTTGAAATAGGATATTAAAAACTTTGACTCCGAAAACTTAGGGATAAAACCCACAATCCGATACTAGAAGATATGACCCGATGCAATCTTGATAATATAAAAGGCATATAATTTATAATGTGCCATATTGCGCTACTTTCCACCAGCTATTGAGATGTCTCAACATCTAAAAATCCAATTTGTACGAATGTTACTGAATCGGGTTTTGATGTGTGGTACTTTTTTTTTAAATACGACAATTTTAACTCCCATAAAATTGAAATGTATAATTTAGCCAAGTTTATATTTGTATCGTTATTTTTTTAAAATTATCTAATGATCTAATGTAACTATGTTACGTTTTTAACATCAATGAGTATTGCGATTTTTTTCTTTCTTCTATACATAAAACAAAACCCTACTAAACCCTTTTTCACATACCTGAATACAAATTTGTTCCTAAAAATTGTAAAAACATCATCATTCATCATGTCCTAAACTATAACACACACACAAAGTCGATGCACCATTTTAATTAAATTATCTTAACATTAATGGACTTTGACATATTGGTATCTTAACTATCTTCATTAAAAATTTACCCCCACCTCTCGCTAGCTCCTGGACTATATTATCGGAAAAATCGTTTAAAAACGGAAGTCTTATTCTTATATTTAATGAAGAATATATTAAAACAGTTTTCACGCCTGTAACAGTTGAGTATTATTATAAAAATATTATTAATCTCATAAAATTTACCATGCCCCTAACGTGCATTTTGTGCACACAAAAAAGAGAAACATATCATATATACATGGGCGCCCGCAGAAAACTTTCTAGGGGGGGGGGCAAAAAAATCGATTAACTTCCTAGGGGGGGGGGGGCAACAAAAATTGTTTAGTAATGTTTTAATGCAGTTTTAATTTACTGTAGCGTATTTGTATGGTGAACGAACAGACAGGATACATGGGCGCCCGCAGAAAACTTTCTAGGGGGGGGGGCAAAAAAATCGATTAACTTCCTAGGGGGGGGGGGCAACAAAAATTGTTTAGTAATGTTTTAATGCAGTTTTAATTTACTGTAGCGTATTTGTATGGTGAACGAACAGACAGGACATCAGCTTAAATACTTTCTCTTTATTTTCTCTTTACTTTAATAAATTTTGTGTCTATTTTTGTCTAAAAAAATTTTATCCAATCAACCCGGGGGGGGGGGCGGGGGGTTGCCCATGCATATATATATAAAAGTGAAAGTAAGTTTGTTTGTGGCT